AAAAAAAAAAAGATAAAATGAGGCCAGAAGAGGGAGAAGGAAAGACTGATGACAACACTTACAGAGAGCTGTGGCTGCTCTGTGCATCCTTACCCATTTTCTTTTGCAGGACGTATTGGGGGCAATGAAACTTTCTAACCTGAAGTCTGTTAAGGGGACTTCAAGGGAATTTCTAAAGCAGCTTTAAAAAATGTTTCCTGCAATTAGGAGATACAAAGAACTGGTGCCTGCCTTCACCTGATAAAGCTAAAACTGATACTGGGCTAGTCTGATCCCACCCAGAAAATCTGACTGGAAAAGAAAGGCCAACTGCTTGGTAGTGGAGACAGGAGAATCTTGCTACATTGAGGTGGGCTCATACTCTCTTAGTTTGTAGGGAAAAGGCATGTGTACAAATTTCCTATGCTTAATGGGAGACTCATGGGAGAGTCATAATCAGTGGAGTAACTGTCCCAAAATTACAAGTAACCCTAGAATAGGCATGCATCCTTTTGGATCAAACAGTAAATGTGTATCAAAGCATCATTTGTAGTTTCTACCTGATGGGAATCTTTAAACTGTTAACTTGTCAGTCAATCAGATTTTTGCTTCTCCTTCTCTCTAATAAAATTATGTCCTCCCAAATGAAATTGCCTAATTGGGATACAACACAAAGGCAAGAATTTCATTTTCAAGATGTACTGATACGCTTCATCTAAGGAGTCTGTTGACTAGATTACATTGCTTTTCAATTAACTGCCGTCTTCAGAAGCAGAGACTTAATCCACAATAATACAGCATGCTCTTGTTTGATGAGGCAAAATGGAAGCCCAAAACAATTAGTGTGATAAGGGTTGACAGTGGCTTTGATGGTGAGTGTGGGCAGGGTGGAGGAAAGGAGGTAGGTGAAAGTCAGAAAGTGAAACTCTCTGACTAACCCATCAGAAATGGGAACAGCTATGATGAAAAGTCAGTTGCATCCAGCTCTCACTTCTGCCTGACACTTACCAAACAGTGCTTCATATAGGCAAAGATTTCTATGATGTACCTTTGTGTTCTGCAGATTACTAACTCTAGTCTGATAACCCACAGATAAATTAGCTGCAATCCATTTACCAGCATGTTTTAAAATGCAGACTATTATGTGAAGAAACAGGAAAAAAGTATACATTGAAAACAAAGGCTGAAGTTATACATCAGGAAAATTTAAAGGTCACCGGTTGGTAGTCATCCCTCTAGCTGCAGCTGCAGTGACCTCTGCTTGCCCTGAGAAATCACCAGTATGTCAACATTACAATTTTCTTTTCTCCCTTAGTCTGCCATGATTGTCCCAGAAATGAAGTGGGAACAGAGAGGAGTCATTAAGGAGAGTCACAGTGGTATGCTGGTGAACCAGCTGTCCAAAAGGAAAATGTGTAGTGTTTGCCAATTCACGTGGTATAAATACTCCTACATAGCCAATTTCAAGAGTGGTGATAATTAATAATCAGAGTGCAAAATTCCTGAAAATTTAATAGTAGGTACTTATGAACTAGTGCCAGCCCACTCCAGCACACATTGCTTATAACACAACAAAAATCAAGAACACCAAGATTTTATACATGTGTATACATGAATATATGTATGACACACTTTAATTTCCTGAGAAGATATGCAAATGCAACAGAAACAAGCTCTCCAAGTCTTTGTCCCTGTAGTTACTCAGCAGATGTTTTTTAAAAACAACTTAGCCTTAGGCTTAGCATGCTCCTTTGCAATTTTTGTTACATAAAATACAAAAAAAAATTTAAATAGCTTTACATATATTATTTAACATAATGCAGCTTTTCACAAATACCCATAAATATTTTAAATTTCTTTACAATGTAAAGTTATATACCTTTCAACAAGAACCTGCGTGTAGCTAATTTAAGAGTCCAAACATTTTGAATTAAGTGCTATTTATTATTTTTAGAAGTTAGCACATTTCACTAAGATGGGCTCTGCAAAGTGAAGAAGGGGATTTGGTTGGGGTAAGGCCTGAGTAGCACCCGGGGTCTCCCTGATCCAGGCAGAAAAAAAAAAAAAAATTTGCTGGTAAAGGAAAGATCTGTTGTAGCTTCACTCTGCTCACCTTGGGCTAAGGTGACTACTAAATTTTAGACTCTTATGATAGCAGAAACAACAATTCTAAAGCTGAGACAGTGCGATGTAGTGGAAAACCCATTGCCTCTCGTAGTCACTTGTCCTATGGGTTGAGGCAAGTTGGCTATGCTATGCAACCATATTCTCATTGCTAAAATTTTCCGCTAAATGCCTGCCTAATTAACTTCATAGAATTGCTGCCTGATATACGAAATCACTTTGCAAACTATGGAAATCTGGCGAAAAATACTAAATCATTACATGACATAATGTAGTAATGATAATACCATTTCTAGGGTTAAATCTAATGATTACTAATGGTTACACTTTCTTTACCATTAGCAGTGTTTAGACACACACTCAAACAGTAAGTTCTCACAGAGCCCTACATGAAGGTTCAGAATGGCTCCTTTGACAAGGCCTTTTAAAGCACGCTGCATCCTGAGTAAGACAAAACCAAGAGAAATTTCCAGATAACATACATTCCATTTTATGTCACTTGTACCTCTATTCCAATAGTTCTCAGAGTGTTCTTTATCTTCTAACATCACATCTAAAGTAGGGTATGGTAGGCATATCTGTGGCCATCCTATCAGTCTACTTTTTATTGGGAAGGTGTCAGAAGATGGGAGTATGAGAAGAATGAATTAGAACAGCCCAAGAATATGAGAACAAAGCCAGGCTACGGCCCCAGATCCTTTTTGCATACCAAGTAAAGCTTCCATGGGAATAGAACTCTATTTTTCCACTCATGAATTTGAGAATTAGACAAAGATTCTTTGAAAAGCACCTGTCCTCTGTCATCCATATTCATTTTATCATGGATTAATAAAGTATCTCTGTAGATCCAATCAAAAGTCTTTGGCTCTTCCTCTGAGACTTTTTCGAATAAGCATCGTAGATGAAAATTCACATCCAGAGGAGTTCTGTTTGTGTTGATTTTTGTAGACAGACAAACTCTAGAAATTGAAAATCTTCTCCCTCCAGTCCACCCACTGGCACCTCTGCATGTGCTGAAGAGAATGAGATCAAATCAAGTCTCTAGGAAATGAATTGGGGATTTGCTAGTAAAATGATACCCCAGTATGTATTATTTTTTAGAACCTGATGCTCCGAGTTGAATATCAAGTTTATGGTATCCCCAATATGCAACTCATAAGTCCCTCCTACATTTTGGATGTTAGATTTGTTTGTTAGATTTTGTATCATGTCTTTGTTTTTATACAGCCGCACCTCAAAAGGAGCTACATCATTGTAGTTTGCATTGGGAGCCACTTGGCCATAAATTAAATATAAGCCATTCTGAAGTATCTCCAGCTTCCAATCAGACACCTTATTCACGCAAGGAGGTTCAGAAGGTGCCATTTGCCATTTTGAGGGTAATGGTCCTATAAGAAATATACAAGGGAAGAAAAAAAGATGAATGCATAAAGTTATTTCAATATTTCATTCTTTTCCAGATTGTAGTTAATTCTTTACCACATACATATTATTTCTTTACCTGATCTATACTAGTTCTCTTCAAGAAAATTTTCATATTTTAAGTACCTATCTACTCCTTGTTTTAGAGAAATTTCAAAGCCAAAGGGTATTTCTCACTTGGAGCACTCTAAGGAAAAGAATTTGGAATAGAAAAATGAGTTAAGTGACTCAGCACCTCTTGTAAATTAATATTTGCGGGAAAAAGAAAGGAGAAGAAAAGACAAACGGAGAAAGAGAGGAATCACAAACCAAAATTTTGACAAGCAGGGTTGGAGTCCATGCCTTTCATCCATTTTCTGTGTAAACGCCACTGGTTGCTTATCACTTTATCAGGGAGGCCTTCCTTAATCAAGCTATATTAAATAGTGTTCTCCTAACTCTCTCTTCTTTTATCTTGCTTGAGTTGTCTTCATAAAGGGTGTCAGTGGCTGGGGTATTATAATTAAATTGTTTGTTTGTTATCTATGTTGTGTCACCTTGAATGTAAAATTTTTGAGGACAAATATATCTCTATTTTGTTCATTCCTGTATTTTCAGCACCTGAAAAAGTCCCTGGTACCTGGTAGGTGTTCCATAAATATTTATTGCTTGAGCAATACTTCCGTGTTCCTGGATTAGGTGATTTGTGTCTAAATTGTGGCTCTTCTCCTCAGTTTGTAGGTATATATCATTTAAGACCTACTTAGATTCATTATTTAAACCCCCCAAAAATAGCTAATGGTAAATTTATGAGTTTACAAGTAGAAGTAAGTTGACTGTTTAGGGATCCCTAGTGCAATACTGGGGACAGTTCCCAAAGGATAAAGAAAAGGTAAATACCTAATCATTCATTTTCATTAGCACATATGAAATTTAAATGTTTACCTAACATTACTTGGTTTTGCACAGCAGTGTGATCTCACGGCCCCAAGAGGTGTTTTTACCACCCAGAATGCTTATCTGTTGCACAGTTCTCCATAATTTTTGTTGTAAGGTACAAAGCCTTTGTCCCGTAATTAAAAAGAAAGCTTGATGAGAAAACACCCTGGAAGAGGTAACATTCTTCAGTTCTCATTCGTATAAATGACTGGTGTAAGACTAAACGTAGATTCTGGAGGAGAATGAAAGAGAGATGACCAGAACAACAAAGTCACCCTGTATTGCTAATGAGCTCAGACCCCTGTAAATTTCTTCCTCCTTGACATGCAATAGGCAGGTCACCAGGAAGAAGTGTCACTGGTTTTCCTATTTGATTCTGTGAAAGAGGGGTCACTTGAAGACCACCTTACCATCACTTGAGTTTCTCAACTTTTACCACATTAAGGCAGAATTTTGCACATACCGTGGATTCCACTTACTGGCAAAACAAAACAAAACACAAAGGAAGAGACAAGCAAAAGGAAATTGTCTAATTCCCACAAGCCAAGGAAACCTACTGGTTTAAATGATATAGGAACACAGAGGTTGCAGAGTTAACTCTAGAAATGGTCTGCTCTCAACTGAAAATGTGTGTTTGGCCTGAAACCTATAAACAACTTTAAAATATGTATTTATTTGACATTTTGCAGGTATTCTAATAAATATTCTAAAGCTCAGTGTACCTGCAAACTGTAGTGTGTTTTCTAAGCAAATATCAGGTGACTACAAAGGAAAATGACTCAGAAACTAAGCTTAGAAGAGAAGGGAGTAGAGGAAGTGGCCACTCTCCCAACGTTTAGAAGCAACAATTGCACTCTCTCACATACTCCACTGGACATTAGCTATATGTGAAATGTGAGAAAGACTTTAAGGAAAGGTTGTAGAAATCTGAAACTTGTTGTGATTATTAAAACACAGAATTAAAGTTAGAGTCCTGGATCTCAGATTCATAGGCCAGTAAGAGAGAAGTGCATTCCTGCCCAGAGAGGCAGCCTTCAGTATGAGATTTTTCAGAGCATGGGCTTATTTTGCCTGGTTCACCTCTGGAAGCCTCAGTTCTTGGGCAACTACCCAGTACATGATTAGTAATTCTATATAGTAGCTGAAAAACGAATAAAAGAAAATACAGGTTTTCTTGAGAGTACTGGACCTGCCTTCTTGCATCAAAAGCTAAGAAAAGCAAAACAGAGACGTGCAAGATAGGTTACTCACCAAACTTAGCCATACAGGGCTCTTTAGCAGTCTGCTGGGGAAAGAAAAGAGGAATTGATTAGGATGATGACAGTGTCACCAACTTTTTTGATTGATTTATTTAGAGCTTTGGATTCCTGAAGCAAACTACTGTTCTATAGCCATAAAAAAAATCCCTCCCTCCATTATGTCTTGGTCATCTCAGCCTCCCTGTAGAGTTGACTAGCTCCATCCTTTACCTTTTATTACCTAGCTTCCCTTTGGGGTTTTTTAGGCAAAGGTCAAGATCTCATTCCATTACCTGATCTATACCTACAGGACAACTATTTTATCTTGGACCTCCCCTTTCTTGAATTCTAAAAGTTTTTCAACAAAACAGCAATTTCCACACCCCAGTGACAGTACAAGGTGATCTATTGGCATGTGAAATAAAAATAATAAAGCTTCTATTTATGTTTATTTTTATTTAATAAATTAAGCCCTAAAAATATTTACCACTCAGATTAATGAAGCCACCCTTGTATAATATTCAGATAACTACATGTCATATACACTATCTGAGATACCCTGAGAAATAGTTCCAAGTTTCAGACTATTGCAATGCACAGCAGTTCACATGCTACCAGATGCCGTCAATGTGTGGTTAGTTTTACAAATAGAAGTAGTTAAATGCTAAATGCTCAAAAATACTCTGTAGTATATTAGGGCATAACCATAAACATTTTTTATATCACCCAAAGTTTTTAATGGCAAAGTGCTTAAAGGACTTTTTGAACTTAAAGATGTGGCACAGTTTCCTTTTATAGGATTTCTTTGGCTGCTATGCTCGGAAAAAATTAAACAGATGCAAGGGCAAATGTAGTGAGACTAGGTAAGAGATTTTTACAGTCATTCATATAGGCAAGAGAGCATGGTACCTCTGACCAAGGGGCTAACAGTGGGGATGGTGATACGTGGTTGGAAAATAGAGGCAACAGAAGTTCCCAACATGGATATGGGGTAGGAAATGAGAAGAGACAAAGATGACTCCAATATTTTAGGCCTGAGTAATAGTAAAGATAAAGTTGTTATTCACTAAAATGGATAAGATTTAGGAGGAATAAATGGGGAGGGGAACAATCCTGAGTCTGGTTTTGGATATGTTAAGTTTGTGATGCTTATTATAAATCCAGGCAAGGGTGTCAAGCAGGCAGTTGGACACAGCAGGCTGAAATTTAAGGGGCTCTGGTGATGTAAATTTTGGAGGCTTATGCTCATAGACTATGCTTTAGGCGTGAGATTGTATGAGACCATCAAGTCAGTGGGTGTAGATGGAGAGGAATACTGGGACATCATGATGTTTAGAGGTCAGAAAATGAGAAAGAACCAGCAAGGGAGAATAGAAAGAAGAAGGTGGGTCTGAAACTAGGAGAGTGTGATGTTTGGAAGCCAAGAAAAGAAAGTATTTCATGGAGGACGAGTGATCAACTGGTGTCAAATGCTGTTGATAGATCAAGTAAGAAGAGGACAGGAAATTAGCTGATAGATTGTGCAGCATGGTAGTCACTGGAGTTCTTGACAGAAGGAGATTCTGTGATGTGAAGAGGGCAGAAGCTTAGTTAGAATAAATTTAAGGGTAAATGGGAAAAGAGAAGTTGGAGGAATTTTGCTGTAGGGAAAGCAGAAAAAAATGAGTGGAGTTTGGATGAGGATAAGAGGTCAAAGAGGTTTTTGTTGTTGTGTTTTAATATGAGAGAAATGACAACATGTTTGTCTATTGCCATTTAGTGGAAATGTTCCTGTAAAATGGATGATGCATAACATGTAAGAGCAAAGAGAGAACAGTTGGGCCAACGTCCCTGAGCAGGTAAGAGAGGATAAGATTTAGTTCATAGATAGGTACATGGACAATGTATCCATAGTGACAAGAGAGAATAACAGTATTTCTGGACACAAATGCAGATGAGTGGTACTCATTGGAACTTCTTTCCTCTCTGCTTCTATTTTTTCTTGAAATGTGGAGGCAAAGCTATCAGTGGAGAGTAGGAATGGGGAAGCTATTAGATGTTTGAAGAGAAGCTAAAGGTGTGAAATTATCTAGTAGAGAGGAGGGAATGGACTGGGAAATGTGGGTTGTTTCCAAAGCAACATGCAAATCCCCTTGAAGACAGTGGCTGTGAATTCAAAATAAGAGCTTTCAACAAGTTTTATGTTTTTCTTCAGATATATTCAACAGTGAAAGACACAGAGCAGTTGGATTTAATCAGCATTGGAGGTTTTCCATAGTTGAGCTTTTGCCGTTAGAATACAATTTTGCCGTTAGAAAACAGAGAGAAGCAAGTGAGTGAATTTATACGAGGGAGGTGTTAAAGCTGTGGACCTTGGAATTTAGTTGTGTAAGGAAGGAAAGAGGGGCATCCATCATTGAATGATGGATTGAAAACTGAGTGCTATGACATGTATGCAAAGATGTGTTCTCCCATTTTTATCTACATTTGTTTGTAGGGTAATTTTTCAGTCATGATAATCAAAATCATGAAACAAGATAAATCGACATTACAAACTTCAAATTCCTATGTCACAAAGTGTTAAGCTAAGATTAAAAACTAAAATAAATGCATTTATCAAATTATTTTATATCATATATTAATATATTATAGAAAATATAACATTTTGGTGAAAGTAAAATGGTTTTGCATTGTGAGAGCTACATTAAACGTATCATTTGGCCCATCCTTATAAATATATATTTTATGTATCTCTTTAGTGCACATATTGTTGGTATTTCTATATAGTATAATATTTAGCATATAATATTGGGAATTATACTGAAAATACATTATTAAGAGGGAGGCATATTCAAAAAGTCTGAAAACTACTATTCTAGGAAATACATTTTTTGATTCCCTACACTTGTTTTTGTTCTTACTTTTTTTTTTTTTTTTTCATTTTTTTTTTTTTTGAGACAGGGTCTCATTCTGCTGCCCAGGCTGGAGTGCAGTGGTGCGCTCTCAGCTGACTGCAGCCTTATCCCCCTGGACTCAAGAGATTCTCCCACATCAGCCCCCTGAGTCGCTGGGACTACAGGTACATGCCACCATGCCCAGCTGATTCTTTGTATTCTTTTGTAGAGACAGGGTTTTGCCATGTTGCCCAGGCTGGTCTCAAACTCTTGGGCTCAAGCAATCCAGCCGCCTCAGCCTCCCAAAGTGCTGGGATTACAAGCATGAGCCACTGCGCCTGCCTCTTGCAATTATTTCATCCTCATTTTGGTGTTTCCTAGAAGAGATGTTGAAATTTAATTTAGTTCAACCTATGATACGGACATGACAGAGACTCCCTTAACCGCAATTTCCTCATCTATAAAATGGGAGAAATAATAGCACCTAGCCTGTTGAAGTTGTTGGGTTTAAATGAGGTCATTCTTGAGAAGGGGTTTGCCCAGATCTCCTGCCTGGACCTGTTCAATAAATATTAGCTGTTTGGGTGATGATGGTGATTGTAGTGAAGAATTGAACTAAAATTTAGGCATCTGTATTCCCAATATCCTACAGCATTATAAGCAGGAGAAACAAATGTAATTTTTTATTGTTACCTCAACAAGTTTATAATCTTTCTAGAAAGACATGATTATACACCTAAAGCAATTTGGTAACAATCTAAATATGAATGAGCACTAAATACATGCCACAGGTTGTATCTGCACCATCTAGTAGCATGTATGAGACGTGTTCAGAGAAACTTAAGGCCATAGACAACCTAAGACCAAACTACTTGCCAGAGCCATAAATTCCGGATGCTATACAGCAGGCTGATTCATGCCTATAGAGGGCCAAAGAGACCATCACTGTCATACTCTCTAATTATTGCCACCGGTGAAAATTCATCTAATTGTGAAATTATCCATTTGGCTGTGAAATATAGTCTTTGACTGAGAGAGTGATATAAATAGACAAAGAATCATATTGTTAAATGATCTTGTTAAATTTTTGCGCATTATATTCTCATTAATAGTAATGGGGCAAGTATTAATCACAACCGTCTACTGGGAACTTACCATATGTCAGATACTCTACTGTCTCATTAATCCTTACCACAACTCTGTAAAAATTAGCTTGCTTATTTAGCAGATGATGAAATGAGGATGAGAGAGATTAAGTAACTAGCCCAAGGTCATGCAGCCAAGGAAAGGCAAGAATGAGATCCACACCCAACCTGTCTGATTCAGAGCACTCACCCCTACCACTCTGTGGGGGAAGTTTCTATTTATAATTCTGCTGATGTTTGGAAGTAGTAAATACCCAATTATAAAGGTACATATGGCTTAGTTATTTTTGCTTAGAAGGATCAGTTTCTTTTGTAACCTCATCTTGATTTAAGGCTAGATTTACATAGTTGGGCTCAAAATGGCCAAAACAATCATTCTATCCCAAACCATCCCTAATCAAATCATCATTGAAAATAAAATCTGCTCTGCTTTTAAGTACAACTTCTCCTTCCTTCATTGTATTGAAGCGGGAGACTTGCTGAATATTTGGTTTCGTAGAGATAACTTCTGTGAAGTTATTTTTCACTGAGGGATTGACCAAACTCCTTGGACTCACAGCTATCCTTTCAGTTAAATATCTTCTGAAAGAAGAGAGGAAAAGAAGAAAAACAATGACCGAAGGAGCCAAGCTTCCCGTCTAACACTTTTTTTTAAGTGTACACTTTATAAAGTATTATCCAGACAATCTCAAAAGTGGGACTTTGTATATAAAAACTAGAGTGGAGACCAAAATAAAACTTCAAGGTTCATGGGTGTTGTGAAAATGTGGAAGTGGCCACATCATAATGACTCAGTATCTGCCAGCCACTCAGACCTCTTTTCCAGAGATACTTGTTTGTGGTCAATAGGAAAAGGGAAGTGATGGTAAGTGGAAAATGAAATGCAGGAGCTAATATCATGCGTGGTTGGCCAGGCCAGTGGCTTTTCCCATAGAAATAAATCCTACAAGTGTCCTGTCAGAACAATATTCTAAAAACCTTTTGTACTTCCCTAAATTTGAAACAAACTCTGGGTTATTTTTAGAGGGAGAATCTTTCATTGAGAAATTGGATGTTCTCTAGGAGACAGAAGCCAGAATCAGAGCTCAACCCATGGGACTAATCCAGTTTGATTCTGAAGAGAGGTGTCCTAGATGATTCTGGCATTATTAGGCTTTCTCTTTCCCTTTGCAAGAACCACTGCATGCAAACGGAAAGAGAAAGTCTGATAATGCCAGAAAGGCAGCCAACCACTGGCTGCCTTTGGGAAAGGCATTTTCCTCCTCTTCTGTGCATGCATTCCTGAGTCATATGTGGGTACTGATGATGCCTATATTCAGTGATCTTCAGGGTTATCTGGCTAATTAATCTTATAGTTTTTAGAAGAAAGAAGCACTTCCAAATTTAAGTTATTGCTATTCTCTCACCCTTCCTCTTCTTCAGAAATTTAGACACTAAGAATTTCTGACAGTTCTTTTCTTTCTGCTCAAACTTCACTGATCCAGAAAGTTCACACTTCTGCTTGATACATTTCTTGAGAGAGCAGGGTGGTAATCAGAAATGCCTCTGTTGCACATAAGCCTTGTATACAGTTATAGAATACAAATTAATGGGCTACTGTGGAAAAACTGGCCAAAGCTATACCTACTCTAAATTAATATCGATAGGGGACTGCTTCCTCCTTCATCTTTTCTCAATTCCTTTTAAATATCTTAGGTGGTAGAACTCTATCTTTGAAATCTTCGCTGGCCAGTTCCCTTAAGAAAAATGTTTCTGCAGTCACATTTCAACCGTTTCTCAGATGGACATAAACCACTTAATTATCCACAAAACTCAGAATCTTCAAATTTAACAAGAAATAGGCTAAATCCTTAAATAAATAAAGCATTTCTTATTTGCTTTTTGGTCAATGTTATGTAGTCAACTGTGAGGAATATTTTTTAGTAAAGAACCAATTTTATCTCCATATCCAGTGTACCATCCCATTCTCTAGGCCCACAACTTGGCCTGCATCTCAATGGGAAATTCCTGGCAAGCATCAGGGGCTTCCCAAATACACATTTTCTTTCTCCTTCCACCATGAAGTCTTCCCTGATCAGCTCAACCTAAAGTCATTTTTCCCTGCTTTTGAATGTCTTAGGCATTTATTCTTCGTACTTCCCTCAAATAAATTCTTGATCACTGCATTTTACATCTAAAAGAAACAACATAATAAATCCATTCCCCTACCACAATTTTTTTAGATAAAGAAGTTGAAAATTAGAGAGAGAAAATGGCTTTCTCAAATGAATGCAGCTGAGCATTAGGAGACCTAGAACCAGAATTCAGATCTCCTTACCCCTAGCTCAGTGCTACTTTCCTCCTCAAAGATGCACAAGCCACCTGTCATTTACTTAAACCTGTTTTTCATGTCTTTTCCACAAATAAGACTATAGCTTGCACTCCATTTCTTGGCATTCATCATATTTTATACCTTTTTTATTCCACCAAGAGTTATAGCAGAGGGAGGGAGAAAATACTCCACAGGCACCTGTCCATTGACTTAACCAATTCTGAGTTCTGCAACTAACATTTAGAGATCTGTGTTCTCAAAACCTTTAGATAAACCTCAAAAGCCATGTCATGACAATACCAGAATTATATTTACATTACTTATACACATCTCTCCCTTCCAACTATTGCTAACAATACTGAGTGACAATGATAATAACTAGAAAAACAAATAAATAGAGGATTATAGTAAATAGCAACCTTAGGTACAGTTGCCTCCTTACCTCTAGTTGGAGAAAAATAAAGATAAGCCAACTGAAGGAACAAAGAAATAGCAACACAACTACTGAGCAAAAGAGCCACAGCTTCCAGGATAATCTCTGAGCTCCTTGAGTTCTTGAATGGCTTAAAGGCATATTTTCCAAGTGGCTCAAACACATTTTTGGAGAAATGAGAGCTGTAGAAAACAAAAATTCACAAGTGGTAGATGAACGATGCAAGGTCATGTTATGTAGAACTATGGTAATTGGTCGTGGGTGTGGAAGGCGGAGTTTTCCTTCTGTCACTGTTTTAGAAAACGATACTTTATAACCTAAGTGCTGACTCTCATTTGGCACCAGGTCAAATACAACAAAAGGAACGGAAGGCTGTAAGCCAACACAAACTCAGAACATAAAAAAAAAGTGCAAGGGAAGTTCAGAGAGGAAAAAAAAAAATCTTTCCTAAATCAAAAGGTAGTACAGTGCATGCGTAAAGGAACCTTGGGAGAATAAAGTAGTATATGCCCATCTAAGAAAGTATTCCAAATTATTTCTAGATAAGCAAATTACTTTTTATAAGAAGAAATAAAGTTTGAGATTAAGCCCTATCATACTCCAGATATCATGTACATGAGAGGCAGAATGCTAGGAAGTTGAAGAGGCTAAGATCCATAGTTTGGAAAAAAAAATAGAGTTTCAATCACATCATCATTTTGTATATCTTAAATATGTACAATTTTTATTTGTCAATTATACCTCAAAAAAACTGAAAAAATCTATATTCACAGAAATGTTTTATCAATTTCTAGTATATGGAATGTGTTCATTCAGATATTCTCCAGAAAAATAAAAATTTGTAAATACAACAAGCTCAATTTTATATTTCACCATTTTAAAACTCTGATAATCTAATTCTGACATAAAAAGCTATTTTACAAAAGAATATTTTCCTGTATCCTGCCTTCAGCCTGAGCTTATATGCTATTCCAAAAACAAACAAACAAACAAACAAAAACTCAGGTTTTCTTCCTGGGACCAAAATATGAATTTACTACAAAATTGAGGAAGATTCCTGGTTCTATGGACCTCAGCTTCCCTATCTGGTAAAGTGGATTACTTGCCTTTTTTATAGAATGCCAGCATTGCATGCTAGAAAGAACATGGTCTATTAAATCAGACAGACATTAAGAGTAGAGGCTGGCACTGCCCAGTTCCTACTGGCTCTGTGGCCTTAGGTATGTTACTTGGGTTCTCTGATCTTCAGTTTCCTTAAAATGGAGAAAAATTTCACTTTATAATGGTTTCGTGGAGAACAAAATACACGTGAAAAGTTTATGTGTTCCATAAATGTTAGATTGCCTCTTCTCTACCCTCTTTAGAGATGTAGTGAAGGTTAATTCAATTATTAAATCCTAGAAAAGAATGAGCATTATTTATCTTTCCCATAAGATATAATTCACCTAAAGTTCACTTAAACAAAAGGAAGTAGAATGAAAGTATTTTGGAAAACCTATTTTTCAATTAAGAGAGAATTGAAGATTTATAAATTAGAAAATGTCCAGAGATTTAACATCCTTATTTACGAAAAAAGGAAACTAAGGACAACAGAGTGTGAGTAATGTCTCAAACCACTAATGGCTGGCTCGTGATGGATTGGAAACTCAGGCCCACAGACACTGCTTTGTAATCCAACCATTTTGTCTTCATACTATACTATTTGCAATATTAGTAGCAATATTTCTCTCTGAACTGTCAAAATTTTAATTTGGGCCCTACTTTACCTTAATCAATAAACTATTTCTTAAGAGACCAGCCACACAAAAACGATTTTTCAACACAACAAATGTTTTTGTGGCTCTCTACTAGGTGCTGCAATGCAGGGATGAATAATAAACTTACTCTTACTCTTACTCATGTTATGTGAACTTAAATAAAATGCCTAAGGCCACAGAGCAGGTAGGAACTGGGCAGTGCCAGCCTCTGCTCTAGAAGAAGACTCATGCCTCGATCCTATAACCTTTGCACTTGCATCAAGTCTGGAATTCATATAACAAGCACAGAACTTCAAATTGGAAGTTAAACTATGTCCTTCTTGTTTTTCTGATCTGCTTCTTTTCCTGTCTCCTCTCCAGAATTTTGAGGGAACTTCCCTGGCTTACTCTCTTAGGTAAACATTTATTCACATGAGAAACTCTTCTAAATAAAATCCAGTTCCTCCTCCTACCCTTAACCACGGTTAGGCTCTGGGATGTCCTTATTAATTATTTTAACCTTATGACAGTATCTTAAGAAAGATGACGTACTTATCTCAAAACACTATATTCTAGGGCCTCTTTTCATGAAATAGGATTTAGAAATAAGGAAACTTCAAGTTAAGACAGGTAATAGTAGGGAAGACTTTCTGAAATTCTAGAGCAATGAGTCATAGTTGGCATGATTTTGGTGAAGCTCAGGATCGCATGTTATATCTCAAGATTTCACAAGAGGTAAACGAGCACCAAACTCAAACTTCATGTTTATGATCTGTCATTGGCTCAGATACTTGAACATAAAGTTTTGTTTTGTTTTGTTTTGTTTTGTTTTGTTTTCCGTTAAATCCGACTAGCAAATCCATGTTGAACATTTACTATCTGCCCACTACTGTGCTAGGTGATTGGGGGGATATTTTAAAAAGTAATAGCTGCCAAGGAATTTGCCAACGATTTAAAACCTTGTAGACAGGGAGACAGATGCCCAAATTGATACTGTATGTAAGACAGTGCCTGAGAAAACAGACCTAGATAAACTAAACAGTTGAAGTAACAGGTTGGAAATGAACTGTTTAAGAAGAGAGAGGAGGGTACTCTTTCTTGAAGGTATGATAATTTGATAAATAAATATTCAGAGATATAAGCATCTATAAATATTAGAAATTAAAATAACTCAATATTAACAATGACAAAATTCCAAATTTTTTAATGAATCTGATATTTTTCATTCAAGAGTTGCAAAATGAAGAATTTCAGGAAAAAAGATCAAAGAAAACCTCCATTCTGTATTTTTCGTATTGAAGAAAAAGATCTAAGACATGTTTGATTAAGGAATTTGAATGTCATTCATGGCTGCTTTGAATTCAGAATTAATTATAGAACAATATGGTTGTAGTTCAGTTACTGACTAAATTACCTTAAAATGCTTTAGGCATTTACTATTTCTTCTCTGTGTGCAAATGATCACATTTGAACATCAAACATCCCTACATTCTCTTTATCTATTAAAATGATGAAACTGACATTCAGGAGGATTAATTATTTACCCATAAAGATAGAATATGGATTGAATCCTCCTATGTTGGGCCCCCAAACTCACATTTTTTTCTACCTGTTTATGCTGAAATAAGTCAAGAACATCCCATATGCAATCAACAGAGTGGAAGATATATTGAAATCTGTAAGAGAGCATTAGGTGGATATCAGTTTCCTCCAGAATCTGTTAGTACTCAGGTCTGCTCTCCTTGTCACATTCCCTTAATACCACTGTTGATCATGACTTTATCCTTGAGATAGTGTATGGTATAGCATAATCAATCAGAATTTTTCAAAAGTCAGAACTCAGAAATAATACACAACTAATTTTGTCTACTCTAGGTGTCAGAGTATTTATTGTCATGACAAATAGGGCTCATTTGGCTTGAAGACACATAGATGGATATATATAGTAAATCAATAACGGGAGAAAATAGGAGCTATAAATAAAATTTTAAACTTGGAATTTTTTAAAGGAAACAACAGTATCTGTTAAAATTAATAAATGCCTACCCCATCCAGACAATTATGTAGAGTTCATTTATGTATAAGTAGATGTATGTGTATGTACTACATGTACATATCATACACACGCATACACACATGAACATATTATAGATACAATACTAAAAGATATATGATGACTATATCAACCTTCAGATCATCCTGATTATAGAATTAGTAACAATCCTAATCAGGTTGATCTAGGAAGTAGATCAAATTCAAGCAGTGTTTTGATCTCACAACCTGGGGACCCTTCTCCATGCACCACATTGTGTTGCTCTGTGCTGTCTTTTTTTGCATGTCCACTTTTTTGAAGTCTTTATCAAATTGTTTTGTTTGTCTGTGTTTTACTAACAAGTACAACCTTTAAGTAAAAAGTCTAATAGCCAATTCCCATTGAAGCCTTTCTATGCTAGCCACTTAACTTACTACTAATCATTTAGAGTGGCTCTGTGATGTTATAGGTTCCTACCTCTTTAGCCTGAGTCTTCTATGTCAGTGGCATGGTGTGTGTGTACCCTTTCTGGACTATTGAGCATTGTGTATCTTGACCATAGAAGGAGCATCTTAAGCACCTTTTGATGGGAAGAATGACTTCCTGCTTAGAATCTTGATGAAAACATTGGCCATTGTTCAATATGGCATAATAATTCCTATCTGAAACCATGGAACATCACCCTAGAGGTTATAATGATTGGGCATTGCTGTTAAATCACATCTTGCCCAATATCATATAGATTGCCATAAAATTATGTATTTTAACTATCAATCTCATTGAAATTAAAGGATCTTAATACTCCTGAGATTAAGTATTTCCTCCAAATCAGAATTTTTGGGGGCAACCCTGGAAGAGGGAATAGAAGAAAAGCATTTTCCTTTTACTCTTCTATTTGGTTTCTCCCTTTGACAAGCTCTTAGAATTTCCCCCTCCAAACTACTACACACCAGCTTCAGTGGAGAATACTCAGCACATCCACTGCTTTCAGCACCTATGACATGTATTCATATGCTCTACAGTCTGAGACACTTTCTCATCTGGTTTTTTTTTTTTTTTTTTTTTTGAGATGGAGCTTCGCTCTTGTTCCCCAGGCTGGAGTGCAATGGCGTGATCTCAGCTCACCGCAGCCTCCGCCTCCTGGGTTCAGGCAATTCTCCTGCCTCAGCCTCCTGAGTAGCTGGGATTACAGGCACGCACGACCATGCCCAGCTAATTTTTTGTATTTTTAGTAGAGATGGGGTTTCACCATGTTGACCAGGATGGTCTCGATCTCTTGACCTCGTGATCCACCCTCCTCAGCCTCCCAAAGTTCTGGGATTACAGGCGTGATGGTTTTCTCTTTTTTACGTGATCTTGTGCCATTCACATGATTTTGTAGCCATTTGGTTCATGTCTAGATTTGTTGGTTTTGGAACTAGAAACCTAAATAATTAAAAGCACAT